CTTTAAAAAGTATACTTATAATATGTATGGCGAGCTGTCACTGTCTAGCCCCGGCTGGCCTCAAATTTGCAAACTTCTTGACTCAGCCTCCCTGGTGTTGGGATTACAGAGATTACGAGGGATTACACCACACTTTGCCTAATTTTCATCATTTTTTAAAATCATTTTTAAATGGAAATCTTTTTTAATATACTCTATATACAAATCATTTATCAGTTGTGATACATACTCCCCCCCCCCCATCAATCCGTGGCATGCCTTTTCCTTTCCTTAATAGTATCTTTTGCATGGCAAAAGTTAGAAAACAAAGCAGCGCATGTCACTGTGAAATGTTCACACGGGTGTGTCACTATCCTGTGTTCTCAGGCATCCCCTTCCTCCATCACACTCTCCCATCCCCCTGGCCTCCCCGCTTCCTGGCCCTCTTTCTCTCCCCACAGTCTCCACTTCCCTGTCAATGTATTCTGCTACTCGTCTCGAAATCCCTTGAGACCTCTTTTGCCTCTTTCTGTTCTTCTTCCTCTCCCACCTCGCACCACACACACGCACGTGCACATGTGTACACACACACACAGAATTTAAATCTAGATTCCACATATGAAAAAAACATGCTGTATATGAAAGATTTAATTTTGACTTAGATCAACTTTTTTTTTTTTCCGTTTTAAAATGCATTGTATTTTTTGGTGCCACTACTAAGAATTCTCAGCCTATTCCAAAGCCATGAGACTTTTCTGTGTGTTTGGGATCTATGATCTATTTTGAGTAAACTTTTGTATAATTCAGGTTTTCCCCTGCCCCAAAACTGTTATCTTTTTCACTGTAGAAAAAATCCTTTATTTTTTCACACTTAGTGAAATTTATTCTAAAGAATAGAAAATAATCCAGCCTATAACTCAAGCATCTTCCAGCATGAAGAAAAAGTTCTGTAGACGCTTGAAATGATGAAGAGTCCCTTTTGCCTAAGAGGACACCCAGTTGGCTTTCCAACAGTGTCCCAAATCCAAACATAGTTTATACTTCAGTTCTCGTTGCCCAGCTTCTTAGAAGCTCAAGAAAGACTGAAAATATATCACACTTTAGAATGAGAATGGAAATGAAGGCTCATTTAACTGAATTCTGCCTTTTTTTGAACTTACAAAAATAACACAAGTATGTGGCAGAGTGTACACACAGCAGAAGTGTCATCTGGGTACTGGAACACCACCGGAGCTGGCTTTCTATTTCTTCCCCATTTCCTAGCTATCTGGGGCTGGCATCTCTCCCTCCTCATGACCTCAGACATTGGGCTCAGTCCTTGGCGCTCTTATTTTCTTCTTCTACTCACTCTCTGGGTGATCTCACTCAGGTCGTGGCTGAAAATGCCACATACACTTCATGAGTCAAAGCTCCTCCTGCTTCTTGCTTCCCCGAACTCCCTGAACTGCTTTACCCAACTGCCTCCTCAACACATCAGAGATGGCCAGTAGCTACTTGTCTACCACAGGAGTCTTGGCTTCCCCACCCACCCCTTTGCCTAGGCTTTCCCGTTGAGGTGAAGTTCAGTGTCGTCCTTCCATTCGCTAAGACAAAGGAGCCTGGATGTCACCTGAAACTGTCCACCAGACCTTTTCACACTATCAGTGAAATATTCCCAGTATTGGACTGTACTATGGTCACAAATGTTGCCTCTAGGGCGGTGGTTCTCATCCTTCCTAATGCTGTGACCCTTTAATACGGTTCCTTACGTTGTGGTGACTCCCAACCATATGATTATTTTCATTGCCATTTAATAACTGTAAAATTGCTACTGTTATGAATTGTAATGTAAATAAATATCTTATGTGCAGGATATCTGATATGTGACTCCTGTGAAGGGGTCGACCCCCCAAAGGGGGTCATGACCCATAGGTTGAGAACTGCTGCCTTGGGATTTAGCCTGTACTCCTCAGTGGTTTTGTAGCTTCCTTACTGACTGCTGAAGCCTGCTCTCTACAGAGCTCACTAATGCCGAGACCAGATCATGTCCTTGTCCAGCCAGAGTCTCATGGATGGTGTATCATCATTCTCGGTCACATCTCCATGTGACCTGATCCTAGCAGGTCTCTCTGAACTTTTCTGTTCTTCCCACTTCTGCCCGTTTAGTAGTCTTTGAGTCAAAGCTTGTTTCTGAACAGGTTTGTGCACGCTGGCTCTGTGCTGTGGTGCTCAACCCTGTGTCTTCTCCAGACTCCAGCACACTGAGATGCCCTTATCCTCCAAGAGGCCACCGCTCCTCAGAGGCCTTCCCTGACTCCTTTCCCAAGGCCCCTCTTTCCCTACCTGGCTGCCCGTCTTCTTGCTTTGCTGTATCTTTCTTTGTAGAGTTCACCACTGCCTGTGGGTCTATTGCTTGCCTTCTGCTTACCTCCTCTACCAAGATGTAAACACCATGAAGGTGGAACTTTGATTGATTCAGAGCTGTAACTCCGGCTTTTGGACAGGTGTGGCCCATAGTCCATGCTCAAAGAGTATTCTGGGAGGATCTCATACTCGGTGAGATCAATACCAGTCGATTCCTTCCTATTCTATTTTACTTCTTCCTTTCCCATGGAGGTTGCTATTATTATTCATGAGGGAAATTGCTTTTTAGTTTTCAAAAAAAAAAACGCATTTGTAACAGTGGTCACACAGTTTTTCTGATGGCACAAATCTTACACTCTATCTTTCTCACTTAATAATGCATTTGGAGAATTAGTTTATCCATCCCTCTGTATTTATTATATTATACAGATAGCCCACACTACAAATAGAACCAAGTTCATTGTCCTGTCAATAGGTCTGTGGATTGTAGCCCCTTTCCACTGCTAGTGGATGTGTTGGCACACACAGCTTGGACAGGAGAACTCATATGGAGTTTTCTGTTAGTGACTTGGTAGATGTTGATGATGGGATTGTAAAATGCTTTTTCTTCTTTTGTATTCCCAGCAACTGTATATTGGTACCTGCTATTCCACATCTTTGTCAACACAACATATTATGCCACTTTATCGGAAAAAAAAAAAAAGGTCAGCTCCTTTACAAATGAGATCAGTAATAAAAACCATTTCCTAGCTGGTAAACTCTTGAATTCCTAGATCTGAAACTTGCTTCACAAAGAAAGAATAAAGTATGGAAGAAAGTATAGAAAGTGATTTGAGATGAGAAACATTTGTCTTTGCAGAAGCTTCCAGAGACTTTCTTACGTAGAGTTGTTTCTGGTGTGTGCTGAGACATCAAATAACTGCTTCCAGGATATTGGTTTTCTTTCCATAAAGTACTATTTCTAGATGAATTTTTCTTATATTAACATATATTATTTTCATATATCAGTGTGCGAGTGAGGCCAGAGGCCTAGGATCCCCGGGAACTAGAGTAACAGACAGGTGTGTTCTGCCTGTCAAAGGTGCTGGGAACCAAACTCAGGCCCTCGGGAAGAACAAAAGTGTTCTTCCCCACTGAGCCACTGTTCCAGCCCTGATTTTTATTTTTTTTTTCTTAAAACGAATCCACAACACAAAACCTCAAGTGTTGGAGTTGGCTTTAGGGTTCGTGGAAGTTGTTGCACTGGGTGATTTATTGTTACTTAACAGCTTTGCGGTTTCTGCCGGGCTTCGCTAGAGCATACTCAAAGAACAAGAACAGTTATCTGTTTTAATGACTCGGCCTGGCGTCCAGAACACAGGCACAGGAATGAATACAAAGAGCAATGCCAAGTCAGAGGAGAGCCGGTTCACAGCAGCACCTAGGGGCTTCTGTGATGTAGTTGGTTTCAGCCCAGGATTAGCGTGGTTGACTCTCGCTTGCTCTGCCCCTGTGGCTGCCGGCAGGGATGCACTGAGATTCAAAGGGCAAACCCCATTCTTCTCTGTTTCCATCAGCTGTCGAATGTGGGACAAGAGATTCTTGGGTAGCATCAGTAGGTCAGAACTGAAGAGCTCTCTGAAGTTAGCTACTCCGATTCTCTAGATGATGAAACAGGTCAGAGAGACAAACTGAGATTCATAGGCGATAGTCCAGACGCTTTAGTACTCTTCCTTTTAAACGGGGAGAGGGAAGTGGGCACTTTCATGTGCACTTTCAGACTTAGATTGCTAGCTGCAAAAAAAGCACTTTTGCTTTGAAATCCCTAAGAAGCAGTGTCAAACCAGTACACATATCCCTGACCCTTGCACCCACCACCTGCCCGTGGCAGACATTGTTAATCAACCCCAGAAAGTTCCAGTCTGAGACCCCTCCTTCTACAGTACTGCTGGTAACTAGTCGTAATGGAGCCAAGTTTTTATGTGAGTTGAGCATCTGTTGGTTCCCCCTTGTAAACGCGTGATTCATGACCTGATGCTAAGAGCCCTGGACCTGAAGCCAGAAGACTGTGGTTTGACTTCTCCATCTGCTTTCCCTGGTTATGTTGTCTTAGGCAAGTCACTTCACTGTTCTAGACCAGTTTGCCCTGACATGAGGGAGTTGAGTGGGATAATCCACTAAACATCCCCCTGTTCTGATGTCGTTATGAGCACAGAGGTTTTGACTGTGTGATTTTATAAGCTGATCATGATCATAGAAGTTTTTTGTTTGTTTGTTTGGGAAATTTTCATATTACAGATCTGTTACTGGAATTTAGAAGTACATGTTTCTAGCCTCTTAGCCACTGCTTTTTATTTGCATGGTTCCATTGGTCTCTATCCCTGAAACTAGAATTTAGGCATTCACAGTGGGAGAGGGAGTTATTTAAATGAGAGGACTTAGAAGAACCGTTTTTTGGCTGAGTGGGGGCACAAATGGCCTCCCACACCAAGCTGGAGTAAGGCTCCATATAGTTGGCCCACCCTGCAGTTCAGGGCCTTGAGTTGCTTTTCTCTTCATTTTGCTTGCTCAGCTGGAACCTTCTGATGATCTAGAGGCCCTGCATTCATGCAGGTCTTAGCGAGGGGTTCTCTTGGGACTCCTCGTCTCGGGTCTCTCCTGCATTCTGCTCCGTGGTGACACGACTCTTTGTTTTCCAGGCTCTCCTTCCTTAAGGGCGTATCCCCTCCTCTCTGTGATCACCCGGCAACCCACAGTCATCTCCCATCTGGTTCCCACCGGCCCAGGAATCACCCCAGTGTTATCGGGCCATGCAGTCACCACTGAGGCTGCCGCCACCGAGCCCCCCGGTGCTGAGGCACTAGCCAGCAGCGAGTCCGAGACAGAACAACCCACACAGCGGCAGAAGAAACCACGTAGGAGTCGCACCATCTTCACGGAGCTGCAGCTCATGGGCCTGGAGAAGAAATTTCAGAAACAGAAATACCTGTCTACTCCAGACAGGTGAGGGTATAAGGAAGGCACTCTCTGTAGGTACCAGCCTGGAGAAGCGGTTTGCCCTTTGTGGGGTGTGGTTTCGTGAAGGGCACTTTCCATTCTGGCTTCTACTCTTGGTCCAGACTCTATTCCTTTGCTCAAGTCATGTCAACTTCTGGTTAGAAGAGGCAGCCATCTAAATCTAGTGCTCAGAGCCTGCATGCAATCTCTTCTCTGTCTGTGCTACGCATTAGACAAACCTCTTCAGTGTAACAAGCTCGGGAAAGCTCTGCAAATAGTTGCCCAGGCTCTAGCATCTTGAGCAGGGGGTCTAGACCTGGCCACCGGGCTGTGACTTCAGTCCTTCCTTGCCGTCTTGACACCTACGGGACTCAGCTTGCTGGCCTGGCTTTGGCTGTTGGCTGGGAGAGGCCAGGATTGGTCCAGGTGAGGAGGTTTCTGATTCCGTAGTGTGTCCTAGCAGGACTGAAAGCAGAGATTGCTGTGGAGCGGGAGCGAAGTCTCCTCTTGAGACCCCTTTGCAGTTCATGTGGGGGTGATTGTAACCCTTGCTGCTTTGTGTCTATTTCAGTTGACCCCAGTCCTGTGAGAGAACAGGGGTAAATGTAAATGAACGCCTGAAGTTATTTAGGACTTGTTTAGGAAACAAAATGGAAGTACACATCCCCTCTTCCGGGAGAATATGTCTACTGGTTCCACAAGCCAGCTGCTTGCTGAGGATCTCTTGGGTGCTGGCAAAGTGGGCTGGCAGGGGTCCAGAAAGTGGTACATGGAGCCCTGCTTTGAAGAACTCCACAGGGGAAGAATAACTGCAATTGCTCTAGCATAGCGAGCCGGTACCAGTGGCAGATGCTGCCATAGAAACCTAAAGATATTGCTAAGTGTGACAGGGAAACCTTTAAGAAGAGCATTGGTTCCAGGAGAGACAAAGCATCCTACAGAGGAGGGGATGCCCTTAAAAGGCTTAGACTCTTGTCTCACTGGGCACGTTCTAGGAACTATAAGCATGGGTGTGAATAGGGTAAGAAAGACCTCAGGTGCCTGGCTGAAGAGCAAGGTTTTGCAGTTGAGGCAGTCACTGATCCATAAGAGCCAGATTTACAGTTTAGGATCATAGCTTTGATAGCACCCCGGCTGGTAATTGGTGGGGCAGAGAAGCCAGCTCTGAAAGAATCTAGGGCTAGCTGCTGGATGTCATACTGGGAATAGAGAGGATGGGGGATGCTTGAAAATGGAATGGGAAGCACTGACCCTGGATGAGGGAGAAGGGTGGAAGTTGAGCGCCCTGTGGTTCCTGAATGAGACAGGCCACTAAGAAACAAGGTTGCTATTCACGGAAGCTGAAAGACCAAGGCAGGCTGGGATTGCTGGGGAAAGTGGCCTTTGCCTTGAACATTCACACTGCGAGTCGCAGTTGGTCAGTCAGGTCTGTGGATTGGAGAATTAATCCATGTGCTCCCCAGGTAGCAGGTAACTAACTTCATGTGTAAACAGGTAGAGCGGCCATCATTATTAGATGTAGGGTTGAGTATCTAAGAGCCTTCAGAAAGGATGGAAGAAAAGTTAGGCTTATTGCTCAGAAGCTAGAGAACTTTGAAACATTTAGAAATGTTAGTTCTTAATAAATCTGTTGGGGCTTCCTGATACTTGCCCCCCCCCCCGGCATCTCTCAGGTGACCCACACAGAAGTGACTCACTTGCCTTGGGAGGAGGATACCATCTGGCTGGCGTTGAGGCTGACGCCTCAACCCGCCCTCCCTCCCTCTCACATGTTCCCTGCCTCCCTACGTGACCAGAGCCATGAGCACTCCCTCCTCCCACAGCTCCTGCCCTCCTCCTCCGTGTTTGTTTCCACTGTTTCCTAGGTGACCCATTTGAGTGAATATGCAGGGAAGTGAGAATTTGTAGCGGTGGCAGGTAACGAGAGAAAGCTGATGACAGCGAGATGTTTCCGCAGCCAGTGTGAGTCAGGGATGCATTTTTCCCAAGTGAGCTAACAGCATTTGCTAATGCCGGGGCAGAACTATGAACCTTCCACTGACTAGTGCACCTGATGGCCTCAGGTGAACCAGGCTCAGGAGAACCCCGCAGCAGCCCGAGAGGACCAGAACTGTGGCATCCCCCTGGGTTGCTGGTTCATAGGAATGACCGCTTAGGGCATAGCGCTTCACTAATGGGAAGAGCTAAGTGCTGTTGGCACTGGGAACTTATTGCTTTTGTCAGTTGTTGAACGCTCAACTGCCAGTAGCCCCTCTGCAGGGATGACCAGGTAGGTGTGTGTGGATGTAGTTTTAAGACAGGCTCAGCATTCCTTTGAGGGCAGGTTCAATTTTTAAAATTATTATTAGAGGCTTAATTAATATACCCTATTCAGAGGTCCTGGGAGTCATGCCTGTGAACACCAAGAGTTGGCTGATAGCAGGGTCAGAGTTCCTGCCAATGCTAGATCTCCTCAGGTAGAGAAAGCTGCAGCTGAGGCAGCACACCTGGACTGCCTGTGGCTTAGGTTTTTGAGCCTGTGCAGGCTTGCAAGAAATAGCGGCCCTAGGTCTGCAAGTGGCAATTCTCAGAAGCCTGGGAACCTTCGAGCAGCGGTGGTCACTGCTCAGGCTGATGTCCAAGTATGAACTGCTCCGCTGAGCGGGGTTGGTGCTCCAGGGAGCTTGCAGGCTGGCGGCTCAGTTCTCTCAGATCTCACATCTCTCCACATGGTGCCCGGGTAACCACATAGGTCCCTGGCTGCTGCCTTGAGGACTAAGGGTAGGAACCTGACTAATTGCCCCTTCCTCCATGTGCTCCCTGGGAATGCTGGCTGCGCCCTCAGGCGGTGGCATCCCTGTGTCCCCTTGGCAGATCTGCTTTGTAGAGAAGTGTTGTGAAGTGAGAAGGTGGCCTTCACACAGAAGGTGGCCCTCACAGAAAATGGCCCTCACACAGAAGGCGGTCCTCATACAGAAGGTGGTCCTCACAGAAGGTGGCCCTCACACAGAAGGTGGCATACGAGTCAGCCAGGGGTGGATTTCATTCTCTCTCCAGGATCCAGGAGTCATTAAAAACAGAGCTAGAAGACTGTTTATTTCAGGCTTTTGGGGACACATGGTCTGTCACAGCTACTCCATCAAGTCTTCTGATGGAGCACAGAGGTAGCCATAAGCAATATGAAAGCAAACAAACTTATCTGTGTTCCGATAAACTTTATTTAAAAGAAAGTCAAGAGTCAAGAAGAGTTTGGTTCTATTGTTGAGAAATCCTAATCTCTCTAAGCTTTAAATCTTTTACTTGTAAAATGGGAATAACCACACCCACTTCAGAATAATAAATCGATAGCACTGGGCAGGGGCTTAGTGTGTGTCTGGAATGCTGTCGTGCTCTAGAAACGGTTGCTGTGCTGTTGGGATCACCTCCTACTGCACACTCTGTGGCAATGGCTTTGCTGTTGGGGCCTTTCCAAAGGCCACAGAGAGAAGCAGGGACACGATGAGCGTAGAAGGCAGGAGGGACTCTGGGTTTGATGCTTGGACTCTTTATGGTGTTCTGTTCCAATCATTGTAACAATTTAGGGCAGCTCCAGTAAGTTCCTGGGCCAAAGAGATGGCTCAGAAGATGAGCCACTTGCTTCACAGGTATGAGGACGAGTTCAGAGTCCCAGAACCCACATCAAAGTCAGACAGGTGCAACTGCTCCCTATAATCCCAGCATTTAGTAGGAAGAAACAGGGGGTGCCCAGGGCAATGGGAGAACTCTGGGTTCAGCAAGGTACCCTGTCTCAATAAAGCAAGGAGTGTGATGGAAGAGGAAACCTGACATCGCCTTCGGATGTCCACACATCACATCCAAACATGCACACACGTAACCATATACTCATGGCGATGCAAAAATATCTCTAAACCCTGCTTCTGGATTTAGCAGTGTTGTAGTAGGTACATCTGTGAACATAAAATGAAAGACTTGGTCTTGAGCTGGGGAGGCTGAAGTAACGTGTTCTCTGAAGAGAGCTACCAACATGGTCCATTGGGGGACTGCTGAATATGAGGGGTCATGGGGGCTGGGGGTTTGCTGGAGGTGGATCTGGACTGATGCGTGGAATTCCCACAGAAGTATAGCTTTACTTTTTATTTCCCGTGTTTGGGGCTCATAATCCATGGTTTACAGAGGATCAGGGTGAAGACTGAAGGCTCAGATGTCCAGGTGACAGTCTGAGGTTCAGAAGCCAGTGTCTGGGGCTAGCCAGTATGACCCCCTCCTCTCTTGTTCCCTCTTCTCTCGCTCACGCTTCCTTTGTGTCTCACGCCTTCTAGGTTGGACTTGGCCCAGTCTCTGGGACTCACTCAGCTGCAAGTGAAGACCTGGTATCAGAACCGCAGGATGAAATGGAAGAAGATGGTAAGAGAGGACAGGGAGTCGAGCCCCGAGCCATCCTTATGGGAAGAACCCCACCCTGTGCTGTGGGGGGCAGGGAGGACTGCTGGCAGATTGGTTGTTAAGACAGGAAGGTCTTCCACCATGCTGGCTGGGAGGGAGACTGGGCTTGACCTCATCCCCTAACCAGAGAGAGATTCTCTTTTTTTTGTTTTGTTTTGTTTTGTTTTGTTTTGTTTTCCTAGAAATCAAAGAAGAAAGCCTACAAGCTTCTCAGCTGCTCTTCTGAATCCCACCTGCTGGTGCTTCCAAAGCACTCTGCCCCCTCCTAGCAGTAGTGACAGTCATAAAAAAGACATGTGTTTCGTACCTAGGCCCCTAAATGCAGGAATCTTTAAAACTGGTCATAGTCACCTGGGTAGCAAGATAAGTCCTTCTCTCTCTGGGGATTCTGATTTCAGAGACCCACGTCAGGGCTGGGGCCAGGCCAGGTTATAACAAAGCGTGCTCCCCTCAGCCAATTTCCACCTTCCAGTGACCTATCAGTTTATGAACCCGCCGTGAGGCCGGAGCCCCCACACTATGCTCACTACCTCGAAGTCCCACCTCTGAACATTTTGTCTTCCACATCGTGCTGTGAACACACGTGACACCCAAACACTGCTGCTCCTCTGCTAGCCATGCTGGCCTAGACACCATGGGGAAGACAGTAAATAAACTATAAGCCCTGCTCCCAAGGGAATTTGTTATGAAGCTGGAGGAAGAAGGCCCAGGAAGCAGCAAGGAGGGCAGAATGACCCAGGGCCGGTTATTTCGTTTGAGTTGATGAGCCCCCAAAGAGTTCCGAAGAAGCCAGCCGCAGAAGGAAGTTAAAAGTGCAGGAACGTGGAATTTAGATAAATAGAATCATTCTAAAAATCCCATAAGACTCTACACGCATGAAACTTACGGTGGAAACTGGGGTGTGGGTGGGGGGGTTGTCGTTCTTTGAAGGAACCAAGTTTGGGAGTGAGAGGCGCTGGGCTGCATTCCCGTGCATGCCCCTCCCTGCCCATTTGGGGCAGGTCCCTTTGGTTCTTTTCCTTTTAAGCTCCACCACCTACCTCTTTCCTCATCAGTCTTCACCATGGAAATCAATGTCTCCTGAGTAGCAGAGTATTGTTTAAATTGGTTATCAGCAATCTTCTCATGAGTCATTTGAATAACGAACTGACAACCAATCCTCTGGGCCAGCACCGCCCAGTCCCCCGTGGGACAACGCGTGCGCCTTGGGCTCTGACGTCACTTGTTTTTCATCAGCCACTGTACTGTTCTAGGCAAACCAAACTCCGGGTCCCTTCAGGAGAGAAGAGAACCGAGCTTCTAGTTCATGTTAGCAATAACATGGACCAGCTAATTTATAACCAATAATAGAGACAAAGTGACAAGTTGAATCTCTCTCATGAAACCTTAAAAATGTTCTGTGACCCTTTGTGCTTCCATATGGTGGCTGTGAGTGTGAGTCAGGAAGCTCAATGGACCGTGAGAGGAGAAAAAGGTGTTGAAGGGGAGGAAAGATGGGGTGAAGAGTACAAGGGGAAGCAGAGGATGTGAAGAATGGGGGGAAGGCCATCACAAACAAATAACGTTTGCAAATACTTTGTGAAATCTAATGCTTTGAATGCTAGTTAAAGTATTAATCAAAACACACAAAATATAAAAAAAAATTGAAAAGTCAAGTCAGGGCCACAGACCTGAAAACTAAGTTACACAAAATAACCAGGCACCAGAGAAGAAGGGATGACAGGTTTCAGAAGCAGGAGAGAAGGTAGGGCTTTGGGGGAGAGACGCCATCAAGCTGTTTTCAGTGGCTGAATGGACATGTGTCCAGTGATGGTTGGAGATGGACTGCAGGCAGAAGACCTAAGCTTGGGACACTTAGGACCTTCAAAATGGCGGGAGCCACAAAGGCTTGGCACTCCGTTGTGAGTGTTGAGTTCTGACTCCCTCCGAACAGCGAGGCATTGTTGAGCTCTAGATTGCTTCACAGATTTTCCGCCTAAAAACTCTTCCAAGGCTATCTCTTCAGGTACTGAGGAGGGAAGAAAAAGATAATTGGGTAATAAAGATGTCTCAAGGCTAGTAACCTAATTGGAACTGGAAAAAGATTAGTATTTGATTCTCAGACTCACTCCTGAGGCTGCCAAGGACAAACCTGCCAAGAGCAAGATAGGATCTCTGACGAGTTTTGACTGGTCAGCATCTGTAACCTATAGCGGGTTGGGTAAATTCAATCTTGCACATGAGATGGGGTGCTTATCCTGTATTCCATTTCTGTGGCGCCACATAATTCGTATCTGCCCGGAAACATCTTATTATTCAGTGGTCTTTCTTCCGAAAGAGGATCCAATCCCACGCCAGAATGTGGGTGGACTGTACTGTCATGCTTTTTAAAATTTATTTTTAATTAAAAAAAGTTATTTTTGGTATAGCTTTTGCATTGTCTCAAGAGAGTCAACAGTTGGTGAGACTGTTACCGGTTGTTACCTGTATGACCCTGGACATGTTCTTGTGTGTCTCCTTGGTAAAAACCTCACATCTACTTCAGAGCGGTGCTAAAACTGGGGTGACATCTATAAAATACATAGCACAGTGCTTGCCAAACAAGATACAGACAAGGGATAGTAGCTGCAATTATTATTGCTTCTTATCTGCAAAATCCATGTTTCCAGAGAACCTGAATCTTTGAAGACCCCTATCAGCAAAGTCAAAGGCTTCCAGGGCCCCTCGAGTTGCTCTTTTGGTTGAGAGAGTCCTGGGTTGTTAGTCCTCAGTCGGAGTTTGGCACTGGGATGCAGTTTGAGGCCTTGGGTCTTCAGGCTGGGGCAATAGTAATGTGAGCAGTAACGCCCTGGGAGAGACTGGCACAGGAGAACCCAGACATTTTCTCCTGGCATCACTGAAACTGTCATCAATTCTGTGGTCCCCACTGTGCTGGAGGGAGGAAGGGGGAGAGAAGCAAGACTCTGAGTTCATAAGCCTGGCATCTGTTGGGTAAATGCAGATGAAGGGAAAACATAGTGGTATGTGCTTTATGTTCATTGCACATTAAGCAGAATCAATTGCTGGTCAGCCTGTTAGAGTTGAGTGATTAGGGGTCTTAGGTTCAAGACCAGCTCTGTCCGTGGCTCACTTTATGTCAATTCTTTATGGATTGGAAGAGGAAGGAAGGCAGATCCACACTTTTCCACTGCCATCCTGTTCTGTTGTCTGAGGTGACTGCCTGAACACCATCTAGATACCTCATGAAGAAAGCAGACCAATCCTGACAGTCTCAGCTACAGGACAGTCACATGCTCCAATTTAGAGTTCAGAGAAGGACTGCCGATAGACACAGTTAGTGAAGTACCTTGTTCTAGGTGTTTTCATGAGAGACAGAGAAGCATGTGACCTTGTGTCCAATGGGTTGCTTAGCCCATTTGGACTAAGGAAGAGACGGTCTCTAGGAGTCAGTGAGGAAGCCCCCAGAGAGGGCTGCAGGGTACATGCCGGTCTGCAGTCCTGGTGCAGGGTGGGTGCGGGGTAATTGCATGTCTCAGGTGTGCTGGGAGGCAGGGGCCAGAGGTCGATGTGGAAAGCAGCCAGGAGGGTAGTTGTCTTCTAATTACTGCTTGCACTGGAATGTTCTATTCCATGTAGAAAATGGTTTGATTGTGTTGACTGTTTTTCCGTGCTGTCGGAAAGCAGCCAGGTGGGGTAAATCCAAGCTGTGTGGGTGGTGTCCTCTAATTGCCGGGCTTTCCTTTGCCAATTAGGTGGCTTCCTTAGACCTGCCCTTTTCTAACTTGATTACTGCATGGGGCAACTGCTTTTTGTATAACCCCTTTCATACCCGGTGGAGCTGCTTTCAACATGTAGGTTCCGTCCTGGCACAGCCAGGCACTTTCAAAAGCACCGATGACATCAAAATCAGATACTGACTTACCCAAAAAGGAATACAGGTCTCCAGAGGTGAATTCTGTTAATGTCTACACCTTGTTCCAGGTTACTTCATATCTCCATGGGAGCTATCTAGTCGGGTTCAAATAAGCCGAGAAGAATTGCAGCTGGAAAGAGGTGTTTGTTGAGAATACATATTGTCCTGGCCTTTGTACATGAAAACTAACTCAAAACAGATCACAGATCTACACAAGAGCTAAAACAGCAAAAGCCTTAGAAGAAAACCTAAGTAAATATTTTTGCCTTAGGACTGAACAAGGCTTTCTGATATAAGACACAAAAGCAGAGTCAACACAGAAAAATTAAGCTGGATTTTATGAAAATGAAAACTTTTGTACTGTGAAGGGTTTGTCACAAAGTGCGAGCAATAGAGAGAGAGGAAGTGAAAAAAAGAGCCCTTAGCACGAGAACAAATTTTTCAAATGTTTTATCTGATAAGGGACATGTATCTAGATTTTTTTTTAAAAAAGCATCCCTTGTGATGTATTCTAAGGAGACAATTTGAACAGACCTACCTCCAAAGCAGATGCACAAATGGTTTTCCCATTCCACATGGTCAACCCTGAGATGGTATACACACAAGAAGTAAACCGACTGAGAAAGCTGTACTTATATACTTAAGAGAAAATGTGTATCAACAATTAAAAGAAAAGAAGCCCATGAATTTGCGGGAGACCAATGTGGGGAGGGATACATGAGAAGGGTTGGAGCAAAGGAATGGGGAATGATGCAATTATATTTTAAAATTTATTTTGAAAACATGTACAAAAAGCTGCTCAACCTTGTTCACATCAGGGAAATGCAAATCAAATGAGATCCCACTTCACACTAGCGAGGATGGCTATAATCAGGCAAGTGTAATGACAGACATTGGTGAGGAGGTGGAGATTTGAAATCCACACACGTCGCTGGTTGGAACGTACAATGGTGCAGCTACTTTAGAAAAAGTCCCTAGAATGCTAATCATAGAGTTTCCATATGATGCAGCAATTACATGTCTGGGTATAGACCTGAAAGAGATCAAAGCAGAAACTTACAGAGATATTTGTTCGCCCATGTTCATAACAGCATTATTCACAGAGCCCAAAGGTAGGAGTAACCAACCTTTGATACAGACATAAAGTGAATATTATTTTCACTATGACATAGATGGATCTTACAAACACTGTGCCAAGTGAAGCAAGCAAAGTCCACATGTTGTGATTCTGTTTATACAAACTGTCCAGAATGGATTCATCTGTAAGGAAAAACAAAGACTACTGATTGCCAAGGCACAAGGCAAAGATGTTGTGGGGAGTGGGGATTTGGTGCTAATGGGTGCTAACAATAGATGCCCGAGTTGGCAATTATACTAAGCATTGTTGAATTGGGCAGTTTAAATGCATTAAGCATGCTTGCAAATTATGTCTCAAATCTGTTTTAATAAGAACTTAAAGTTTGGCAAGTTGCTGTACTCATTCTTGAGGTTTAGCCTAAGAAGGTCCTCTTCTGTCCTTGAAGAAAGAGACAAGGTCAATAAATACCCAGTGACTACACAGAAAGGTTCTGGCAGCTGAAATGTCAGGAGAGATTTGCCCCTAAGGCGCTTCTCTGCAAATGGAGAAGACAGTGATAAATTAGAGATGTTCTATAGTTTGATCTAGAATGGCCCCAAAGGCCCATGTGTAGAAGGCTCTATCTCTAGCCTATAATGCTGTTGGGGTGAAAAAATGATGGAAGATATATATATATCTTTAAGAATATATACATATATATATCTCATATGTTTTGTTCATATCTACCTCCCATCCCCTAAGTTCTATTTATATTTTAAGATAGGGTCTTACGTAGCTCAGCTCGCCTTGAACTTGTTATATAATCAGAGATGATCCACTTGCCTCTACCTCCCAAATTCTGGGATCACAGGTGTATGTCACTATGCTGAGCTTTTTTTTTTTTTTTATCATCTTTCTTCAACTTTCTGAAGTGTTTATTGAGTAAGGTTCTGTCCATAATAGTTGTCGAAGGCCTGCTGTGTGCTGAAAGCCAGTGGGAGGGGCTGGCAAATATGCATGCAGAGGTGGTGCTTTTATGAAAGTTCTCATAGGGCACATGGGGAGAGCATGTGATTGACTCAGGAGAGCAGGGCAGGTAGGCTTCCAAAAGATGTAATCCAGGGAGAGGCTGCCATTCAGCACCTTCCTGGTGTCTCATCTACACAATGGGTTCTTCCCAGTCACCCTGTGGTAGAAGGTACTCTGAGCCCCATTTTACAGATGAGGAAATCGAGACTGAGGTTCCTAAAAGAGTTTCTCAAAGACAAAGCTGGGAAGTGGCTGGAATTTAGCGGTTGCATCTCTTTCTGTGGTGGCCAACTATCTCTTCCCACAAGACAGGAGGATATATTTTTAACTCCTTCTGATAAGAGAAATTTTTATGAATGATTCTTGGTGAAAATTTAGAAAATAGCATAATATAAAGAAATGAAACGTTATCTGTGATCTCGATCCTGCAAACAAGGCAGCATATAGCTCTCTATCCTCAAAACTGAACTGTGCTATATTATGGCTTGTTTTTAATAAAAATATATTTATAATGTTTCCCAAGTCGAGCCTCTCCTCTATAATAATTGTTTTGGTTATCAGAAATCTCTCTTTGGAATTGACTGTAATTATCTCACCTAACTTTGCTGTTATAATCAATGTTGGGCTGACTATGTTTTGCAGATCAACCTTTTTGTAGATATGTGTGAGTGTTGAGAATTTATCCCAATGAATTTCTTTTTTAAAGGGGTTCATGTTTTAAAGCTTTTAGCTTGAATCGTCAGATTGTCCAGGCTCCATCTTCACACAAAGTGCGTTTATTCTTTTGCTTGCTACAGATCTATCACTTCAATAGTTATCACATTACCATTTGAAGTTTAATTGCTTTCTTCACCAAATAAGGTGACATTTTTCTGTGTCTATGATCGGGGTATTAAATGCTGTCTAAAAGTCCACTGAACATGGTAGAAGCTGACTTCAGGGGATGGTCTTAAAACACATGTGGTCAAACCCTAGGGCTTTGCTATTGGCCAGGGAGACCAACAATGCTGTGTGAGGGTGAACCAGGACCAGGAAGGTGCAAACTGAAGGGATTTCTTAGATTCAATAATTTCTCTCTCCCTTTTCCCCACATAGGTTCTTAAAGGTGGACAAGAAGCACCCACAAAACCTAAGGGGCGTCCCAAGAAGAACTCTATTCCCACATCAGAGGAGATTGAAGCTGAAGAGAAGATGAACAGCCAGGCCCAGAGCCAAGAGCACCTGGAGTCCTTGCAGGGACCCAAGGAGCCCTGTGATACCCAGGAGCCCAAAGCATGTCATGTCCCCCTAGAGGTGGCAGAAGCGCCACCTCACCAGCCCCAGGAGTTGCCAGAAGCTTCTTCTGAACCCCCACCATTAAGCTAAGCTAAAATTGTTTGGGGGAAGGGGGATACTGGGGAAAAGGGAAGAGAGAGAAGGCAAGGAGACTCAGGATAGAAGACTGCTAAAGCCTAGTCGCGTGGGTGAAGGAGCGCCACCGGCCACCTCCTCCCAGCGGCATTTTCATCTTGAGCATTTGATGAAGACTTGTTTTCCTTGGGTCTTGCCCTTCTTGCAAGGCTGTGTGAGCCACAGATACCCCCGAGTAAGGGAGCTAGCGCCTTGGAGCTGTTTGCCCAGGCTGGGGCGATGGCTGTGGGGTTGAGTACAACAGCCTGTCAGTGTGACTAGCTGGGCTGGCCTGCACTTCTCCTTCCCTGCTTCCCTCTGGGTAGCCAGTCAGCAGTGCAGAGAGAGGTGGGTGGGAGCGCTAGGGAAGCCCCCCAGGCTCCTTGCTGACTCAGCGCTTATTTCTGTAGTTTTAAGAGAATGGAATGATTTGGGGTTCTTTTTGGAGGGTGGGGTGGGGAAGACTGTTGAAGGCAGGCAAAGAAAGAAAAGAAATAGAAAAAAAAATGAGTTGGAGGGAGTTACGAGTTACTAGGGACATCTCTGAGTCCTGCTTGCCTGTTTGGAGACACGTGTGCCTTTGTACCTTTATAAGATGGTCAGGTGATAAAACCCTTACGAGCCTTGGTTTTCCTGCCTCATTAAGTTGACATCCCTGAAGCTGCAAATGCAGATACGTTAAGATAACTTTTATTTTTTAATTAAAAATACATCTTTCAAGAGGATTGTCTTGTTTTCTTTTCTTTATTATTTTGAGAAGTGTCCTATGAAAAGAGGGTAGTCAGGTACCCTGGACCTTCCTTTTTCTATCTACAAAGCAAAAGGTTGGACCAGACCACTAACCCTAAAGTACAGGAGCCACAGAAGTGATGCTGTGGTCACGAGTCAAGGAAGCTGAGCAGCTAGGCTGCCCCCACGAAGCAGCCCCATGCCAGCAGCTGTGGATCTGGGACTTCAACTTTCAAAAGTTGTTGTGACCTTTAAAAGTGTATCTATCTGTTTTATTTGCATGTTCGTGCGAATGGCTACATACATGCTTATATCCCTCTCTCTGTGTGTCTGTCTCTGTGTGTGTGTGTGCTGCATGCTCATGCCACAGTATGTGTGTGGAGGTCAGAGGGAAAACTATGGGAGTCGGTTCTATCCTTCTATCATGTGGATTCTGGTGACTGAACTCAAGTCACTAGGCTTGGAGGTGAGCGGCTTTACCTGCTCACTGTCTTGCAGGCGGGGCCTGTTTTACCTTTCGAGTAGCTAAGTTATATGCTATAAAAGGTCAAAACTCATTTGTATTGCTTTCTCCCTTGTCCTCCCACCTTTTCTTCATGGAGTGTCCAGTTTTTAAGAGAAGAAAACTTAACAGACCGCCTAGCTGTGCTAAGTCATATCAAATTTAAAAGCGATGCCCTAGACTGGGGCTGGTGGCCGGTGGGTACAGGCTTTCTTACATGCACGGGGCCTGGGCGCCACTCCCAGCATCAGAGGAAGGCAAATGAGATGCAGTAAGGATGCCCCACTTTAAAAAAGACCAGAAAAGGGCCAGGAACCGAGTGTCCCAAGGAGGGTTTGTCTGACTCTCACACACTCTGGCTGGGAGAATCTTACAGGGTCACCGTTAGGGTTGTTTTCCTGTGGTGCCCTTCAGGACTCAATACCCAGTGGCTAGCTAGCCACCGATTGCTGTCAACTCTGCCAAGTTGAAGGCTTGGCGGATACCAGTCAGCTGCTAACAGGGCCTCGATTAGGAGGCAGAACTGATTACTATTTCTGAAACAGTCCTATAACACACTTCAGAGCCCACCAGGAAAAACGCTGCCTGTGTGCACACATCTGGCTGCCTGCTTCCCTCTGTTAGGGCAACTGCAGCTTTGGTGTTGCCGTGGCAGACCTCTGCTACCGAGCAGAGTAGAGAAAGCCCTCTTTCTTTTCTTTCCACTCCTGTGAATAGACAAAGGAGTTAAGGACTTGGCCTCCAAGAACCAGTTTGTGCAGACCACACCCAGCTGCCTGTGTGAGGTGGTTTGTAGCAAGTGTACGGAAAGCTGTCTCGCTCACCTCTACCCACCCCGCAGTACAGTTGTACAATCCGCCAACCAGGTGGTGTCACAACAAGACAGGGAGTACGCACAATGGCCAGAGTAAACCGCGGAGGGCAGCCGGGTTAGACTCCGAGGGCCGTTCTATTGACCTCACTCCAAGAGACGCCTCTCAGCAAGATGCCAGTTTCCTAGGAGGGCTTTCGGTCTCTTGCCCCGGGTGTAACCTTCTTCCTTACTGTGCTCTGACTATGACTGCGACCTTATGGACCTGTTTGAGCGCATACAAGCCGCTTTTCCCACGTGCTGGGTTCCAGGCGCTTCTGACTCCAGCTTACTCCTTGGCCCATCCTCTTTGGTTTGTTTCTTGCCTGGAGGGGTTGAAGACATTTCGCTGGTGAATTTAAGACCTGGGATTATCGTTCCTTATGTTTGGGAAGGCCCAGCCCAAGGGTACCTCCATTTATAAGCTCTTGGCTTATTCTCAGATGTGCAAAGCTTCTTTTTTCTTTTTCTGATGAATCAAAGATGAGACAGGAGGGACCTTTATTATTATTTTTTAATTGAAAGATACAGATTATACATACTTAAGGCATACCTGATGTTTCAGTCTTCACACAATGTAGAATGGTTACATTAGGCAAATTGGCATTTGCATTAACTCATATACTATTATTCTGTGGCTAGACTATGAATATCTACTGTCAGTAACTTAATTACTTAATACTCTAAAACCTGCAATCGCCATGTGTACAATATTCTTGAACCTACTCATCTTAACTGAAACCTTTTTAAAAAATTTATTTACTTATTTTTATTTCATGTGCATTGGTGTTTGACCTGCATGTATGTCTGTGTCAGTGTATTGGATCCTCTAGAACTGGAATTGCACACTGTTATGATCTGCCATAGGGTGTTGGGAATTGAACCCAGGGCCTCTGGAAGAGCAGCCAGTGTTCTTAACCACTGAGTCATCTCTCCAGCCCTATGAAATCTTGTATATTTTACCGAGCATCTCTCCTGACCTGGTCCCCCATCTCTAACATGTGGTAATTACCATGGTAACACTGTACTTCTATCATGCCCTCAACTTCTTTAGCATCCACGTACCAAGTCAGGACATGCCATGGTTACTTTTGATTGCTGTCCCCCTTTTCCGCTTAGTACGATGACCTCCAGGCCCGTTTCTTTTGTCCCAAATGATATGATTTCCTTCACTTTTGTGCCAAACAGTATTTCATCATAGCTGTGTACCAGTCTCTTTAGCCGCCTGTTAGTTGGATCCTAGGGTTGATGGCGTCTCTGCCATGGGAGGAGTGCTGACGTGAATACAGGTAGGCCGATGTCTTCCTCCAGCAGTGGAGAGGAAAGGGTTTATGCTGTGCTTGTAAGCCGAGCCCTGCTCTTCCTCCAACTCTGCTTTCTCTTTGCACATGCTTCCCAGGACCAGAGCTAGGCATTCAGGTGCCAGCTTCACAAGTTTCCTCTGGGTGTCACAGTGGGTAGCTTATGCTAACGAATTCTGGAACAAATTACTGAGTGGCTTCCCCAGCATCACCTCATCTCCAGCATTTCTTAGTGCCTCTTAACCTCCTTTCTCCATTTGCAGGTCTTGCTAAGTGAATGCAGGATGATGCTCACGAAGGGCTCAGAGTTTAATGTTATAGGTGTCCTCCGGTCAATGTCCGAAGTTTTTCAGAGGAAGAGAAAGAACTTAGGCAAGTCTTTCAGAATCTGCCTAGATCAACTGACCCAAGAAATTTTGATGTTTGAGCTGGGCAGTGATGGTGTATGCCTTTAATCCCAGCACCCAGAAGGCAGAGGCAGGAGGATCTCCGTGAGTTTGAGATTAGCCTGGTCTGAAGAACGAGGATAGCCAGGGATACACGGAGAAAACTTGTCTTGAAAAACAAGCCAACAAAAAAGTGTGTGTGCGTGTGTGTGTGTGTGTGTGTGTGTGTGTGTGTGTGAGGGAGAGAGAGAGGGGGGGAGAGGGGGAGAGAGAGAGAGAGAGAGAGAGAGAGAGAGAGAGAGAGAGAGAGAGGAGAGACCCTGCTCTGGGAGGCTTGGACAGAGCCTTTCCCCCCATGTTTCTGACCTACTGCTGTCTGTTTGGATCACCAGTTCTCAAACAACAACATGGAGACTTATTATTAATTATGAAAGCTTGGCCTTTCGCTTAGGCTTGTTTCCAACCAGCTCTTATAACTTAACCCCTATTTTTAATCTGCATTCTGCCATGTGACTCAGTCATCTCTCCTCAGTAGAGCACCTCCAACTTTTAAGTCTGCTGTTGAAATTTGCTTCCCTACATTCCTCCTCCTCTTCTTCTCCTTCCTGAAATCCTACTTATCCTCTCCTCCCTAGCTATTGACCATTCGGCTTTTTATTACACCAATCACAGCAACACATCTTCAACATCTTCACACAGTGTACCCCACAACATAACCCCCCCCCCAACAGCTGTCCAATCAGGCTGTGAAGTGGGCTGATTCTTTCAGTTTTATGCAAGCCCATTGGTAAGAGAGAGACCAATGCCATTTGTCTTGCAGTGCTGCAAGAGCCATGCTCAGGACCAAGCCAAGGTCCCAGTCCCTGTAGACTCTTCCTCATAAGCTTGGCTTCTCTCTCCCAAACAAGGGCCTGTGATGGGCATGCCATGAGGGTTTCTGAGGGGATTTCTCTGTCTCTGCTTCCACTGTGTGGATTCTTTCTGGGAGAAAACAGACTTCTGCTTTGAAGCCCACTGTAGGCCATCAGTGAACTCATCTAACCACGTGATTGGGTCACTCTGTGTGGCACCCATGCTATCTTTAAAGATTTGCTAAGATATACCCAAACCACGCAGAATTCAGTAACGTATTGGGTCTCACAGTATGAGCCATAACCCTCAAACTCATTTGAACAGGTTCATCAGAAGCAAGTTTTAAGTAGCCCAGTTTGGAGATTTTGCTCCTGCCTAAGTCTGTGGCTAGGTGAAGACCTACTCCTCTCACAATTGTCTGTAGACACTTCCCCGGCTTGACAGGAGCCAGAGATGGGTGTTGGGGCAGAGCTGAAATGCGTAAGTGCTTCATTGCCTACGCTACCTAAAGTCTGACCTAGCTGGTGCTTTTCGACCTGCTCCCATGAGCCTCACTGCTCTCTCCACGGTTGCATTTGCTGCCTGCTATGCTCTCTCCAGGTACAGAGGCATTCCTCTTCCTTGGCTCAGGTGACTCTGTGAGACACTGGACCCCAGTGTGCCCTGTGCCCAAGAGGCAGTGTCCTGTTTCCACTCCTTTTTCTCACACCTCAGCAGGACAGTGTGAAGTCACCTCCTAAGAGTGTTCTGTAGCTAACCCCACCTTCTCGCCAGTCCAACCTGTTCCCTCCTCCCTCGCCTCTTCTTAATGCGCCTTTTGTAAGTGCTGCTGCGTCCTGCCATTTTCCCAAGAAGGACTCCGATTCTTTTCTGTTCCCCTATTTAGAGCATAAATCCCTTGAGGCTGTTTCTCAGTTTACTGCTGACACTTCCTCTTTCTCTGCTGAGGCCACCAAAGGCCTGCGACTGTGCAGGCAGAGGGTCTGTGCTCTCCTGGATTCCTGCTAAGTTGTTATTGTTATCTTTGTTGTTGTTGTTGTTATTGGCTCTACAGAAATTTGCATTGCTTACTGTCCTGCAGCCTGAAGCCCCTT